AGGTGATTTGGGTGCTGCTCTCTTAGGTCAAACATTGTTTTGCGGAGTAGCAGTTGATAGGCATGACCGCATGCACGTGGCTGGAGGGTGCTCAGAAGAATGCCTCAACACAGGTATGTGCACTGCTGAAAGCACCACTGTAGTTTTGGCTGAGATGTGCTCTCTCATCACAGGCAATTTTCCTATCACTTCTCCTGAAGATACGCCTTTGCTGGGGTGTAAGGAAGCCTTCAGTGACTTGACTCACCACAAAGTCTATTTAATAAAAAGAAGGCCGTGCACACTTGTGTGGCTCCAGGTATGACTGGCAGGATGCTAGCTGCTCAGGTTTTATTTAATCCTAAAGAGCAGGAATGAGTTGAAATTTCTAGCTAACTGATTTTCTTATTTTAGAAATCATTGCACCAATATGAACAAGAGATGCTGAAAAAGCAGATATAAATAGCAGTGAGATTTGCTTATTTCTGCTATTCTTGCTAAGATTTTATTATGTGTTTGTTAGCTTTGATTATATCCTCAAGGTAGAAAACAGGCTAAAGCAGATTTTATATCAATTGTCTAATGAACTTTATATTATTTCCTTGGTTGTATTGTTGTTTTTCAGAGGAAATTAAAAAGGAAAAAAGAAAATTTTAGCACTATCACTTAGCAGATAGCCTCTCCTAGTAAAATGGTCTTATCTGCTGCGGTTGCTAATCTTAGGCATTGACTGCTAGAAATATTACCATTATTTTTCTTTCCGAATCTCTCTTACTAAAAAAGTCAAAGCATGCCCTATTTATCGTCCAATTTTGAAAGTTCGTGGATTCATGTATGAACTTAAATATCAACTCAATTTTCTGAACTTTTTCCCCCTTTTATGAATCACAATACTTACTTTAACTGTGCTTTTTAATGTATTTGTAGATATTGCAGTTTGATGAATACATAATGAATAAAATCACTAGCAGACTTTTCCTCATGTTTCATGTCACCTGACAAACAAAAAAAAAAGCCCTGACAAAGAAGTTTTAGACAGTATTTGTTTTATATTTTTGGAGTGAATGAGTCTGTGTAAAAACCATAAGCTACAGAAAACCTGAGACCATAAACTACCTTTTGGTTTAGATTTTACAAAATACTAAATACCAAGGGGAAAACAAAAAACTAGACTTATCTTACAAGAATGCTGTAAAATATTTTTTAACAGAGAAGAATGAATAAAAATTTAATTATAGGAATTCTTAAAATTTATTTTAAAAATCTTTTTATTGCCTCAGCAAAAAACTATGACAAAACAGAAAGTAGATTAGAATCCAGAAGTAATCTTACAGAAACAACAGGTCAATGAAGCAAGAAAATAGTATTAGCTAACATGTGAAAACTAAGCAAAGGTTTCCCTTCTGAAAGGCAATGATCAAGAAAATCAAAGCATGAGGATATTCTGACTAGCTTAAATTTTTACTGGGTTTACAAGTCAATGTCTTCACAGGGATTAGTGCCTTCCTGTATTCTGCATTTCTCACTCCACATTCAGTATTATTAAAGGACTGAGTAATTCAAATGCCTTAACTTCTGATTTTCACAAATCTCCAATCTTCAATAAAAATTAATGTGTAAACAGAGGTGGATTATAAAATATACTATCTGATGTTTCTCTGTATAACAACTTACAATATGACAGAGGTTCTGTGGCCAAATTCTTACTTCAGAGAAAAATATTCCCTCAGAGTGGAACATAGTCCATAGAGAAAAGTATCTTCCATTTTGATCTTTGGATTGCTTTACTGACACTGAGAAATCAAGATACAAAGAAACAGTCCATAGATAAAGAATAAAATGGATAGGTTTGTTTTTCTTTGGTTTGGTCTTTTGTAGTCCCGTGGACTGCTGTTGTCTTCAATTGCACAGGAAGCAGCAACACTTGGGGAATGTTAAACAGGTCTATCCTGAAAGTAACCTGGGGCTCCATCATGCAGAATGAAAAATGAAAGGTAAGGACAAATGCAAAGGGAATGCAGGGCACAGTGCAGGAGAAAGCTACTTAATAAATATTTGTAAGTGGGACAGCTCTTCTGGAACATGCATGAACATGTTAGAAAAAATATATGACCTCTGGGGCCCCTGTCTTTCCAAACCAGATGCTGAAAATTCACTTTTCGCTCAATATATCTCTACCTCTGAAGTATACCTTCAGACATCAGAAAAGAGGAAAAACATTGGAAGTTTAGAGTGTAACAGATGACATGTGTGATAAATAGGAAAGGGAAGAAAAAGGAGCAATACGAAGATTACACTTAAAACCTACAGTGTTAATTGGAATCGAGTCATGGTGCATTTTTTTTTCTTGGAAAAATAGCAGTTTGTCATCAGATTTGGCAGAAGAGTAGCATGCATAAAAGAAAATAATATTTGAAAGTAGAACAAGCCGACATGGCACCAAGTGAGATAAATGCTTAGCTCACAATCATTAACTCCTGGCCTAGCTACTGCTTCCTATTGCCAAAAAATCAGGACTTGGAGATGAATTATATAGGCTATAAATAATAGTTCCAAGATGCAGCATCAGAAAATAGTTGTAACTTTATTTGCCCATGATCATTAAAGTGCTATAAAAACAGAGGAAAAAAGAACATCTCCTCTTGGGAGTCCTAAATCACAGATTTGTACTGGTAGCTACAATTTTTTTGCTGCAAAAGTAGCTAATGCCTTTGTTATTCATGAACCAAGGGCCCGCTTCTGTTGGCAATATTTTCCATCTACCTGCCTGAACAGAAAAGCCCTGCTGTTCTTAGAAGGGAGGGAAAGTGGTTGCAGCGTCTTCTAGATGACAGATCAAAAGTGTTCTGGACTTCTGCCTCAGCATGAAGCTGATCTAGTGTGCAAAGCCATTTATTTAGCAAGATAACCATCTGGCCAGAGTAGGTTTGATGAGGTAATGGTTTTATTAATTTCTTATAGTAAGTATGATGAGTAGACAAGGCTGCCTATGGCATTCAGATATGGGTATTTCATCTTTACAAAATGACCTACCTTCCTTTCTGGTGCAAAACCTGGTGATTTTCAGTGTATCAAAGGAGTTTCCCAGTTCTTCACTGTGAGCATGGGAAAGTCCAAACTTGCTTTTCACATCTGCAGAAAAGTCACTTCATAACCACCAAGACTGAAGCAAAAAAAGGTTATTTGCTCCAGACTCCTCTATTTTTTCTATGCATGCTATCTGCTAACTTTGCTGAAGATTCCTAAAGATTTGTTGCTCTCAATCAGAAGAAGCTTTCACATTCCTTGGCAGCTTGTCTGAAAGTTGTCCCCCACAGTATTTAAAAATGGTGACCTGTTCCTTAGCTACATTTCCATCTTAAATTTCCATCTACAAATTTTACCTGTGTCTTTTTTGTGCTTTTATTTTGAGCATAAAAGGGTCTCCAGGACTGAGCATCTTCATTGCCTAAAGGAGCCACAGCAAAACTCTTTGCTTTGCTAAGTGTGCAAATCAAACTCCTGAATCTTTCCCTGTGCTGCTCTTCCAGTCCTGAATTAATTTATATAACTTTTACCTCCAATATCTGCAAGTTTTCAGTGTATTTTTAGAAAAGAAGATGCCAAAGGTAGACAGAATTGCACTTTGAGCAAAGCTGCTTGTGTTAATGGAATAACGAATTTTTAAATTTTGGAAGAAATTTTAAGGTAAATTCAGACTCCATAAAAACCTAAGTAGCTGAGTAATGTAAGCTAAGGAAAAGGAGCTCATGTGCCTCTAAGGACATGGTGGCCTTTAAGAGGTCGTAACTAAAGAGATACGGTGATCAGTCATGGGCAACATTTCTTGTATATGAAATGAATGTTGTAAAGGCTGCTACCAAATGACATAAGGGTATCACCTTTTTCAATCTGCAAAACTAAATGTCTAATGTCTAATAACAATGTCCAGTGTATCCAATGATTATCTTAATGGACATGGCTGCAAGTTCTGCAGTCTCTGATGCAGAACGGCCAACGCAAACATGGTCATCGATGCAAGCGTTTTGTCTGCTCCTGTGCTTGCTTTACCTCCATCACTTCACCACTCTAACCTCTTAATAATAAAGCTTCCTTTACCCTTTCATTTTACTTCTCTGATCTTCCTCTGGAATTCATGTTGGAAAGCACCAAACCTAAATGAACTGCCCCAGCTAAGGAGTGAGCATTGAGAAACACTGAATTTGAGAGGGACAGAGGTCCTCTTGGCCTCCAAAGAGCTCATCAGGAAGGTTCTGAAGGTCATCAATGCATCATCACTTCAGAAGTGTTTGGTCTATTATTAGAGCTTGTCAGGGATATGGCTGAGAAGCCATGAGTGATCCTGATCTCGGTTATTCTTCTTTAATTCTGCCACCCCAGTCTCAGCAAAGCTGGATACTTGTGGTGATACATGGTGAATGGATTGTCTGCGCCAGGTCTTTCCTCTGCCTCTGCATGGGGACTTCCTTAGTCTTGGGTTGAGCAGGACCACAGACAAGCTGCGGCTGGGGTCACTGTGTTCTGCTGACACACCAGGAACAAGAGCCATGCACAGCTCTTTGTGCTACACCTAACCATCCCCCCCGACGAAACCACAGCAACCTCTGCTGGTGCCCAGGAAGACACAGCTTCAAGGCACGGAGGGATTCAAACCAACTTTGGGTATGTTGCAGCGGTTAGACGAAGGAAAGGAACACTTCCCAAGACAGGTTTCCCCCAGTTTTCCTAAATATGTTCTGAACATATGATTCATGCCTTACTCATGAGTTAAATTTAGAGCTGCTGAAAGTCAACACTTCCAGAAAACTTGTTTCAGCAGCTCTGTGGGGAGGCATTTCAGTTTGAATGGGGGAAAGGACCAAAGGAAGGTTTATCCGGACAAACACATGGCAGAAAGAGCTGAAGAAAAATCATAGCCTGTTGTTCATGCCTGCGGCCAGAGAAGTGAAGGAGCTGGGACCAATGTCATAAAGGCAGCATGGCACAGTTATGTGCTTTTTCTAACAATAGGAACCTTCTCCTGGAACAGCCAAAAACTTTAATAATGGTAGAAAGGATGGGCACAACTTGGAAAAGCTATTTAAAAAGATAGTATCGCAAACCAGCACTTGTTGCCATGTATTGTATGAGAAAATGGACTTAGAGCTGTTATGGCAAAATCCAGTGTACTGCACTGCCACTGTCAGTTATGGGATAAGGAGAAATTTGGAGGCTTTCTCAGAAGGCAGTGGGATAAGAGTCCTGGCTGCCATGCAGGTGTCCCCATGTGCTGCTTCTGCTGTGACTTGATCTGCAGGACGTCTGTGTGGAGGCAAGGCTTGCCTTAGAAGGGTGTGCACCCAACAGCAGTGGCAAGATGGGAATTGCATTTGCTTTTAGAGTGTGTCCCATGGGAGTCCCTCCCTCCCNCCTCCCTCCCTCCCATTCTGGGTCAGCTGCTTCTCCAAGGATCTGCTTTTCACAGTTCTTTATGCAGATTTGCACAACCCTCTGGAAAAGGTCACTTTCTTCAGAAATGAGGAAGGCCACTGATGCATGTATGCCAAGCTTCACTTCTGAGCAAATGCTTTGAAGCTTTCTGTTAAAAGCTTTTATCCATGGAAAAGCATGGTTTTCTTTTGTGTTACACTCACTTACGTGGTCACACTGAGGAGAGGCAAGGCACACACGCGCAAAGCAGTATGGACTGCTTGCAAATAAATACGCTTCAGTGAGTAGCTATTAGTAGTGTAAACATTCTTCCTAGAGGCAACTTGAGAAGAGGACCTGGCATAATGTGGGTCCCTTGGTACATGCCAGGATCCCTGGAGCTGGTCAGTTATGTCACTGCCTCTCCTAGTGAACTCTGGCAGCTTCTTGAGGAGACCCACACTTACCACTTCCCTTACCAGGTTTTGAATTTATCCTTTCCGTGTGCCCATGGCCTCCCCTGACTTTGTTTCCTGCACGTGTGAAGAAGAGGCCATCCTTGGGTGGTGGCTGAGCTCCTCTACCTCTCGTCCCGAAGGCATCAGGGTGGGCATGTACCTCCCGCTCCATCTCATTGAGGGCGTAGTGGAGAACATCAGCTCAGCTTCTCTATCTGCCTAAATCCAGCAGCGACATCTCCATTTGCCCTCAGTGCCTCTGCTTGCTGCAGAGATGGGGCAGCCCAGCCAGCCCTGTGGGAGGGATGGCCGCGGCTGGAGAGTGGTGTCCAGACCCTCCCGGCGGCGCTGGGCTCGGTGCCGGCTGTGCCAGCTCTGCGCGGCAGCGTGGCGGCTGAGCCCGGGCAGCGCAGGGACGGAGCGTCTTACGGCCGCTGGGCACCCAGCAGCCGCCCTCAGCTGCCCTCCGACGCTGAGCGGGGTCAGCTAATGGCAGAAATTCCTTGGGCTGGCTTACACCTCGGGCTGTGGGATATCTGATCCGATATCTCGTGTTTCCCTGCTGGAAGCAGGCACACGCACACCAGCCTCGGTCTCAGCCGTGCTGCCGGATGGCCAGCAGCAGCAGAGGAGCTGCTCTGTGCTCACAGACATAAACACAGATGGGGCTGGCCCCTCTAGCGCCTGTCTTTAATCAAAAATCACATGTAGCTCTCTGCAGCCCTAAGGATGATTTTCTTTTTTATATATAATTTTTATTTATTTATTTATTTATTTATTTATTTTAATGCAAAGAAAGAGACAGTTCCTGTAGCTGTTCTTCAAAACAGAAACCTTGTGAATTAATTGCAGAATCCAAGCATGCTTGCAAAAGTTGGAACAGTTTTAAAATAGCACAGATCAGTTTTGGGGGATGTAATTATAAATGCCTCATCAAAACTTCCAGGGAAAACCCTGAGAAATGGACTTGTCAATTTTTTTTTTCCTCTTTAGAAGTTTCTGAAGAATACTAATTTTCTTTCAAAGTGTCTTTCAGCCCTATTTTTAGTCTGCTCTTTATACAAGAACTTCTAACCCACAAATACTGAATTTGCTATATTGCAAAGCCTTTGAAAGACAGGACCTGATTGCTTAAGTTCTGGAGGGAGATGGTTATTTAATCTGTAGATGACAGAATGGATCTAATTGTAATATCACATTTGGGGTATTAATTTTCCATTCCAAGTTTTAGTTGTCTTGTGTAGTTATTGCTTGTGATATAACTCCATTAGAAGTTAATTTTTAAAAAATATTTGGGATTTCTGGAGCTAGAAGTCATAATGCAAAGGAAGTTCCATTAAACCTCACTTTAACCCTGTGTCTTTAGGGGATTTCTATTGGTTGTTGTTTCTAAAAATGAGCATATCAACAACCAACTTATGGGCAAGGCAGAAATTTATCCGTTGACTGTATTATCACTACTGAAATTATTTGCAAGACAAAAGTGTATGTGATTGGTAGAATATCCAAACAAGAGGAAATAGAGTCATTACTACTGAAAAATAAATAAAATATATATATATTTAATATGAAAGTAAAATTTTGATCTGAGTGATGCTAAGTCAGCCTACTCCAGCTGGGAATCTGCCCCATCTAGTCATACTCAGAGGGATGGACATTAATCTATTATTCAACTGCACAAAGTTCAGTGGAATAACTGTTCTCACTAATTGCTAATTGGCAAAATTGCTGGTGCTTATAGGAGATATTCTGGTAACAGATAATTAAGCAACTAAGTAGTTGAAAATGTCAGGAGAGAAAAATGATCTTTTCACCTCACTGAGTTCATTTTTAAAACTGTGTAAGCTGAGCTCACTTGGCTCTGTACAGCCAGCCCGCAGCTCTGCTGGAGAGGGGTGCTATAGCCACCAAGCAGAGGGCAAAACAAGGGAAAACCCATTTTCTAGATCCTGCTTCAGCAGCTGCCATTCATGCTCAAAAAGAAAGTACAAATCTAGAACTTCTGTATGTAGCTCTTGCTTTGACCATCAGGCTTTGACTGTCACTTGCTTCCTGGCTGAAAGGTGTTGTTCCCTCCATTTCCTCATGCTACTGAATTTGGAAAACCTCTTCTGTCTCTATCATCCAGATATCATCCTAGAACCTCTCCTTTTTTTGGGACGTGCCAGAGCAAGGGTGGACAAGCTGTTGACTGTAAAGAGGAGGAGAAAGCATTTCTCAGCCTTTGCAACATGGATTGGAGGGAGAAGAGAGTTTAGGCAACAATTGATGACAGGAGCCACAGCACGTTATTTTTGCTTTCCACCATGTTTGCAATTCATGTCTTGGTGTTCCTGAGGACAGCAAGGGAGCAATCCCTGACTCCTTGGAGCCTTGGGGCAATGCAGACAGCACCTCACCTCCTGGTGTTCCAGCAGCTTCTGGGACAGCAGTGTGGACCAAGGCATCAGGGCAAGGTGGTCCCAAGCAGCGTTTTGAAAGCTGACATATCAGCCCAAAGCCTCAGCGCCTGCTTCAAATCTGTCACAATTTTGGGATAGAGTACAGCTAGAAGGGCTTCCTTCTGCTACCTCTACTCATCCGTGGCAGCCCCAAGAAGACTGTGCATATGAAACACTGGATACCCTCCAAGCTCACATCTTTCCTGGCAGCAACACAGTGCTCTGGTAGCAATTTCTGCACATCAGGAGAATGCCCTGAACCCTTCTCTCTCTCAGGTGTGAGCCTGTTCCTGTTTGGACCTATTAGTGGTATCACCCAACAACCCCTTGCACTTGTAATCCAGATAGGGAAGAGTGAAGAGTATTTGATGCATTTTGCTGCTGCTCTTTCTGAGTGTGTGTTAATGATTTTCCAATGAAGAGAGCAAGGCTCCCAATGAATAAGCCTTGCATCCCTAGCTCCCAGATGCTATCCTTGTCTGTATCACTGAAATTCACCTTCCCCTGCTAACATGAGTGCCCACCCTGTGTCAATGGCAAGCTGATGCAACAAGGAGCACATGCCTCCTTAACAGTGACTATTGCAGTGAAATGTGATATTGCATCAACATTTGTCTCCAGGATGGCCACAGAAATACATGCACACCCTTGCTTGGACACGTGTTGTACAGAGAGCAGTGCCACTCAGAACCTTATACTGGGATTTGAAAGGTCAGTCTGGATGACTGGGTACTATTGACATGTAGTTGGAGTGAATTTTCCTTCAGAGTCTGCAAGTTAAAAGCCTTTCAAGCTGCAAGGTTATGAAATAGAGTGACGTATGTAGTATATTACGGGTACACTTAAAAAATCAAAATTTAAATTAACACCACACTTTTTTTCCTAAAATTTATTCTAAAATTAATTTTTAATTAAAAAAAAGTAATTTTAAAATTTAAAATTAAAAATACACTTTTTCAATTACTTTTTCAATTACAATTTTACAATTTATTGATATTTATTTTTTTTGTGTATTCCAATTAAAAACACCACCCTCACTAAGAGTCAAAAAAATCTCATCAAAAAGGAGTCCTCTGCCAAAACTCCTTTCTCCAGTAATGCTTCAGCAGGGCAGATGACAGCCTTCTGTCTGAGCTCAGAAAAAAGGCTGCAGTGGGGTTTAAGGCACACCCATATTGATTCTCATGTGAGTGAGACACAAGACAGTTTCCTCCGGGGATGACCACAGTGGCTTTACACAGCTCCTCTACTCAGTCAGGGCTAACTACATGGAGGCAGATTTACTTCTATAAACAGAATTCTTTGAAAATAAATTAATGGACTAAGAGGATAACACATAAGTTGGTGGGCATAGGAACTAGCCTGCAATTCTGGAAAATGGCAGAAAATTTAAAGAATTAGCTAAATACATATCTGTTTAGTAGATAAGAAGAGTTCTGTAGTCAGAGACAATTTTCATTACCTACAGAGACACTTCATTACCTACACTTGGTAGAGGATGAATGAACATGCTGAATCCTCAGGATCCGTGGCATGGCATGTTTAGGAAGCTGCAGGACAGACCAAAAGCTGTGGGTACATTAAAAAGGGATTTCTGTGCTGACTTTGGAGTGAATGGCAAGTTCAGGTATCCACTATTATGGCTTGAGCTTTTATCATGTCCCACCATTTTCTGCCCAGAGTGGGTGTGCTGAATGTTCTGAACCAATACCTGATGGGCTGTGACTGGTGCAGTACAGTTGAGTGAAAAACAGGCCTTGTAATTGTATGGCTAATCAAAGAAAAAAATTGTGGGAAAACCATGAGATAAATACAAGAAAATTTAAATGTTCTTAAATTTAATTGAATTTAATTTCTTGAATTTAATTTAAATTGAATTTAATTAAAATAATTCCAAAATGCTGGCTGCCACGTAAAATATATTCCAGTTTTATTTTATCATTGCTTAAAATTCTCAAAACCGGTTTTTTTTTTCATTTTAGAGAAGGGGACACCTGGATCAGTTTTGAGGTGGAGCACAGTGTTACCAAAGAAGTAAAAATGCTTTGTTTATAAAAATACAGAATGGCCTGGTTCGATGTGATCTGAAAGATCATCTCATTCCAACTCTCCTGCTGAAGGCAGGGACACCTTTCACTAGGTCAGGTTGCTCTGAGTTCATTTCAACCTGGCCTTGAACACTTCAAGGCCTGGGGCACCTACAACCTCTCTGGATAACTGTTGCCAATGCCTTACAATGTAACCCTAACCTAACCCTAACCCTAACCCTAACCCTAACCCTAACCCTAACCCTAACCCTAACCCTAACCCTAACCCTAACCCTAACCCTAACCCTAACCCTAACCCTAACCTAACCCTAACCCTAACCCTAACCCTAACCCTAACCCTAACCCTCCCAGTAAAGATTTTTTTTCCTAATATATGATTTCCTAATATACTCTCGTTCAGTTTGAACCCCTCCCCCTTGTCCTGCCACTGCATGCTCTTGTGAAAAGTCTCTCTCCATCTTTCTTGTTCTTTTCAGGTACTGGAAGGCCACAATTAGGTCACCCTTAAGCTGTCTCTTTTCCAGGCTGTACAATTCCAATTCTCTTAGCCTTTCCTGACAGAAGAGGTGCTCCAGCCCTCTGATCATCTTGGTGTCCTTTGGTGTCCTCCTCTGGACTCACTCCAGCAGGTTCATGTCCTTCCTGTGCAGGGACCCCAGAGCTGATGCAGCCCTGCAGGTGGGCTCTCAGCAGAGCAGAGCAGAGGGGCAGAATCCCCTCCCTGGCCCTGCTGCCCACGCTGCTCTGGATGCAGCCCAGGACACGTTTGGCTCTCTGGGCTGGGAGTGCCCATGGCTGGGTCATGTCCAGCCTCTCACCCACCAGCACCCTCAAGCCCCTCTGGGCAGGGCTGCTGTGATCTGTCCATCCCCCAGCCTGGGCTGGTACCAGGGCTGCTCTGACA